CGGTATTAACATGCTATCTATTCTGCATTTTTATTCTCAGATTTCTTGGGGCATATAAATATTTTTTTTAACATGAAGTTATGGCACAATTGCAATTTATGGGTAAGACATTTATGGAAAATATGCAAATTTTGGCGGAAATCAAATATTTTCTTTACACAGTGATCGATGGACTTTTAAGGAATTGCGATAAGAATTTTTTTGCAAGCATTTCAATATCACTGTAATATTGGAAAATATACCATTGTTATTCCACTGTTTAATCAATCGTAATCCGTCATGGATAAAGTATCTTGCCATGATAATTTTTTTTTCACGAATTTTGAAATCTACAAGCATCGCATAAATAATTAATTAGTCATCTCATAAAAAATGTAATATCGTTCCATCATAGCGTTAAGATTTTCAGTTAAAGCGTGAGACAGTCGCTGATATTTCAATATTCAGTACTTTGATGATAACATATTAGGGTCGTTGGTTCTTTAGCCAAATCGTAATTACGCGAGGAGACAATTTCCTCGAAAGTCGATTTCTTCCATCCAGGAAATAGGGCCGAAGATAAACAAAATTACAATGAATATGAAGGAATTTAGCCGTAAACCATAAACAGATATCGGAACAATTACTGCCGCAAATGGTTTGGTAAACTAAATTGGACCTTTAATGATGAAAAATTCCATCCGAATGAACACTAAGCAGGGATCGCTAAACGGTTATTAGTTCAATTGATATAAACAACATGTCTGAAATACACAGACAAATAAATTTAATTCTTTAATGAATTATTTTAGACTCTATAAAAATGTGACATATTTATAGTAACATGAATGGAGCAATAATTCATAATTAATCTACAAGGAAAATCTTCCCCCCCTCCCCTCCCATCTGAAAAGCTGGTAGATAGATGCTGGAGATTTTTGACATGTATTCTAGGCGGCTGACACCCTGATTCTGTGAGATAACGCACCAGGAGTTGTTAAACTAATAAACAATCTCTCAGGTAAAAGCATTGCCAATGACATTAACAATTTTTTTCTGCTTCGTTGACAAGCATTTCTCTCTCTCTCTCCACTTTTCATTGCCATTTTTTCCCCTCCCTCTTGACAAATTTTATGCTATCATGTAATGCAAACATTTCATACAATTTTATCTAAGAGGGGAACCTGCCTATATCAATGCATTGGAAAAGATAACCACTTGTTACTAATTTAAAGGAGATATAATAATTAAAACACTGAATTTTCACAGGTCTTGAATTGTCACCTAATGGGTACTAGAGAATCAGTACCAGGTTTGATATTCAGGCCGGCCTGGATTTATTCAGGTGGCATATATATATAGACCAGTCAATTGTACTTCTTGCATTATAACAGGGTTAAAATGTATCAAAAATACCGATTTGTTATACTTGCAGAATCATTTGTACATGTCTATAAATATATGAATGAAATTACTCTTACTGTTTCTATGCCAACTAAAGTCTTACATAACATACTCTGACAGTTTCTTCCGAAACATCTTATCAAATCTTTCCGATGAAACACATGTACATCATTTTTTATAGAATATAGATATACTTTTATAATCCTATCTCTAAATTAAGAACATATGTAAAGACAAAAATAATCTACACTATTCCTGGTGCTTGAAAACTTTGTTTAAACTCCAAAAGCATGGTTTTAACAAAAGTAATTACTCGTTAATGATGGTGGGGGCGGGCATTCCCTTATTACTTTAACAGCATATTCTCGACATTTCTTAAATCTTTTACTGCCGCATTAATGCCTCAGAGGTTCAATTTTCCTACCTATGTAATAATTTAATTTCACAGGAAATGTAGGTAACTCGAAATAACTGCAAACGAGCCAAGAGGCTCATTGCGAGCTGCGTCTTCAATTTTTGAAAAGTTCTGGAAGTAATTTCTAAACTGTAAATGAAGTTGGGAGTTTTGTATATTGCAATACGGAAGGAAATATTAAAAGCCGACAGGATGATTCTTTCCACATGTCAGTGTAAACAATAACTTCAGGCACATTTCATCAGTCAACAGTCTTCCTGGTTTAAGATTTATGATTCTACAAGTACAACGGATCAATGGAAATGAGGAAAAACCACAAAGGAACTGTAACTCTTATAGCCCTAAATTGATACCAATGTAAAATGTTTGTCGAATTTCTTGGACACAGAGCATTTAAATATGTCAGAGGCCCTGTTCCTATTAATAAATTTGGGTATATTCAGAAAATACAATGACTGGAAGAAATTTTTATCTTATATAAGCATTAATTTCATTCAAAACAGACCAAAAGTTCTAAGAAGGGAACAAAAGGCAATGTAAAATCATAAGTATACAGGCTAAACAGAAATTGCTGAGAAAGAATAGAATGGATTTAAAAATAAATGTCCAAAAATATTTTAAACAAAAAAAAAAACGGATTTTGGTAAATTTGTAACAATTATTCACAATCAGGATTAAAAGTTAGTTTTTCAAAAAGGCTTTACACATCACCTTATGAAAAGCTTTTAAGATGACCTTTTTCGATTATCAACAACAACATAAGGTTATGTTTCTCCTGCTACTCAGCAATTTCTAATATTCAAAGAGATTTTCTGTTCAATAGATTTTCGCCCTCCGTCAATAAATTTGCTTGGCAAAGCTATTCAATCATTTTCTTTTCTTTACGTCAAACGCTAGGGCATCCTATTGTTATATTTCTGAAAACCATTCCATAACTGGAGCCAGTAGAACAGCATTCTCTGACTCGACCCATCTATCAACATGGATGAAATATTTCAAATTAGTCTGGGAGCAAAAAAATACTAAATTATGAATACTTCTGGCCTTTCTAATTACAGAGGTGCTGATACAGACTGGTTTATGACAAAGATTGGTCGCCTTATACTCAGTATTTAATACTAACCAGTCTATGATTTTCGCACCAAATCAATCACAGAACCAGTCAGAATTTTTTTTTTTTTTTTCAAATTTTTAACTACAGAAGAGTGTGCTATGGTTATTTTCCACCTCCCTGCAGGATTTATTGCCAGTAATTATCTCTTAAAGAATCTCTATGTACATTTTCTAAGTAAATTAATATTACATATGGGGAAAATCAACATATGGAGCCTTAACAATATTGCATTTTCCTCTCATTTTTACCTTCAACAGATGAAAAATTTGCTGAGATCTACCATACTTATATATATAGTAACAATGAGGTTCAGTTTATAATCCAAGAGTTAAGCACAGTAAATGGTATCATGGAAATAATCAAGCTGAATATGTGAAGTATTTAAGAAGCAGCCCATTTCCAACACTTCCGAAAAAATTCAATCTTAAGTCGCAGAGTGGCCCTAAAGCCCTAATTCTGTACCACTATTACTCCACAAGAAGCTATAAATTTAAACAACCTTAAAAAGTTTCTTGAAAACCCTTAAGTTCATCTGTAATATTATATTAACATTTTAATTATTCTACAAATACTTTTGTTAGTGATACAGGAGTTTGTGTTACTTTTATGTCAACCCTACGGCAGTTGTACAACCAAATGTGTGCAAATGGATTCCATATTGGGAATTGTTTATGTCAAAGAATGTTCGAATTTGATCCGGAATTAAAATTGAAAGTATCACAGTTTAATGACTTAAATGCATATAACTGCAATTTACTTCCTATTAACAGGAAAAACTCTTTCAAATTGATTCATTATAATTATATGTTTCTGCGACTGTCACTGAAATTTCAAAGCAATAATCAAATTAAAGAATCATTCATTAAATGTCACAGGTGTAACTTAACAATTATAAATCCTATGTCTGAAATGAATTCCTACGAGGTCAATCTCTGTTTCAGACTGGGATTTTTAAACAGCTTTTTTAGAAAAGAAAATCAAAGTTATGTCTGAAAATAGAAATCTCTGTTTGGCCCCCCAATGGACAGGGAATATTCTCTCCCTGTAAACAAAGCATGACATAAAATATAAAATCTCCGACTGGTTCTTTATCTTAGCACCAGATATTAAACATATAGACAAAATAATGTATAATCTGTAAACCAGTCTTTAAATTTTTCTCTCTCTATGACTTGGCAGCAGACACCAAAAACTACTCAACTTATAAATTATATAGAAGCAAAAATGATAGGTTTAGATAATATACTGTGAAATCTTTTAATTTTGTGGCCAGGAAGATTTGTGGTTTAGCAATAAAACCAGACTGGTTTTAGTTCTTTTAAAAAAAAAACTTTTAAAAATATCAACAAAAACTGTTTGCAACCACCTATCACACAGTCTACTGAATTCATTTCACCACAAAATGATCTAATTTCACAGATGAGTTGAGTTTTATTGGGTTTTAACTCAAGGTGATATAGGGGCTTTCCAGCTTTACTGGTGAAGGATGACCCCAGGTGCCGCTCTGTGCATAATTTCAAGCACAAGCGGGGACCAAAGAACTCCTGGAGTTCTGTATACTTGTCGGATAGCTTCCTCACATAAAATATTCAAACCCCCCGAGGGGACTAAAAATAAGCCAAAACAGTGGGGGGGCAATTTTTTTTGAATAAGGGACCGAAAACCACTCGAAAAGGACACAGGTTTGAAGTGAAGGAGTAACCACCGCCCAAAAAGGCACCTCATGGTTTAAGTGAAGGGAAATATACCACTCGGCCCTTGGGAAACACCCCCCAAGATTAAAAGGTTTTTCTTTAAAGGGAAATTAATTACGTTAACTAAACCAAAATTCTAAATTTGAATTTAGACAGAAAAAAAAAAACTAGAGGAAAGTTACGATTTTAGTATTGACCCATTTTTAACCCCAAATCTCTGAAAACATCTTTATTACAGAAAATTTTGTTAAAATTTAAAGGAGAACAACAAAACACAAAACCCCAAACAAGCCTTTTTGATGACCAAAATCCACAAAACTTCATTCTTACAAAATCAAAACATTTCACAGTATAATTATTACATATATATTGGAACTGGCATCAAGAAACTCACCTCTATGTCTGTTTGTAGTTTTATCAAACATCAGCATAGCATCTTCTATCTGAAAATACACAAAAAGATACACAAGGATAAGTATACATGGCTTAATTAAATGGCATCAAGTTACTATATCATTTAATTAGCTCATTTGAATATGTCAAAGGCTTCTGAAAACATTCTGATAGTGTTGATAATGTGAGAGAACACACATACTGTTATTACTCAGGTATCTATAACACAATAGAAACAAAGAAGCTCTTCATCTTATCTTGTGACCTCACTCATTTTAATTAACATTTTTTTATTATTAATTTTTTTTGTTGTGTTTTACATGGCATCAACATAGTATATAGGTCATATGGCCACTTTCCAGCTTTACAGGTGTAGGTAGACCTAGGGTGTCCCTCTGTACATTATTATATGCACAAACAGGCACCCGAGTACAGCCACAGACATTCTGTAAGCAAGCTGGATAGCTGTCTTAGGTGTTGAATCTGTAGACCCTTGCAAAGCTCAAACCTACAGCAGTGAGTGGCAAACTTTTATCTGATTAGTCCCTCTGCGCATTATTTCAGGCACGATTGGGCATCTGCGTAAAACAACTAACAACCTTCTGTTTGGAAATAGCTGGAAAACATCCTCAAATGCAAGTCCTTTTCGAGTTTTATACTGATGTCAAAAAGGAGCAAATGATGTCATAAGTCGGCGATGCTATAATTATCAAATGGTCTAATACCAGCTATATTTCATACTTTAAAACATTTTTCTGACCATAACAAATCAGATCACACGTCTTGGCGTGATGCGATGTAGGTATCATTTTTTCTATAACACTGTAAATTACCATTTTACTTCGTTCTTCTTATAGACGCCAGCACTAAGTGGTGTAACTGAACTTATGCAACACTATATAGACGGTGTGAACATGTATATTTGTATGCAAATAGATGTCGAGTCAGACACCATTAGCTACCAGATCGTTATACCAAAATGTGAATCTGTTTATATACCAAGAACAGACCAATCAACAGTCATTCTGTCAGAAATCTAGCCAATAACAGATAATCTAAATGGTAAATATTGCCAAAATCAAACTTAAAACATCAAACATTCACTATGGGAAATGATTTATAGTGATCATGATCAAATGAATGGCAAGGCCTATACCACTTTTGGCATATAACAATGAAAATGTAAGAAAGAACACAACCTCGAATGTGCATGAAGAAAAATTATGGTACGACAAAAAAGAGACTCGTGTTTACATAACTTGATTGCATATTATCTATTAACCTTTTTATCTCTAACGGGTACATTTTACGAACTTCAATCGTATCTCGCCAAAGACAAAGTCATCTGCACAAGTCTCTACTGATCTACTGACAAAACTTAATCGTACTTCATCGACAGACATTGAACAGCTAAACAATTCCTCTAAACACACCGCAAACAGTTTTGCTCGATCGTATCGGAACACCGTGTCACCAAAATGATTACCACTGTTCAGCGGTAATGAATATCAAACTTCATCTGACTTGTGTCTTCCGCAAGACAAAACGGTCTTTTGACAATATGCCTTATCAAGATAAACTACGTCAGACTGTAACGCATATACGACATGAAAAAGCACTCAATTAGAACAAGTCTATATTCATTATAACCACTCAATATGCTTTATTATCCGATCATTTACAATCATTAGAAAATTCAACATAGCTTTTTAACGAGGAAAAAACGTGAAGGTCGTGAAATATAAAAAATATTTTAAGGTTTTATTTACATAGTATCTCTATGCTACTTTCACAACATTTGAAGGGGTTCTCCTTTTTTGTTATAAAAACTAACACACTTGCACATGTATAACCCTCTTATATTAAATATTGCAAATTACACATGGGTGAAAGTTGAAAATTCTAAAAATCCTGACATGAAATTACACCATTTCCAAACAATTCTCAATCAAGGTCATTGAAGAAATTTAAAGCAGACGCATGCATGTTAAAACTTTGTCCAATTTTAGAAAAATAATTTAACTCAACATGAACTGTAACACTAAATACAGTGAAATGATCATCACAGAGTGAAATATACATGGCTGAGGAGAACTTATTCCCCTTGTTTGACTTGAACCCTATTATAGCTAACCTGCTGGGACCAGTGACTAAGCCTTTGCCATCAGTATGGAGCCAGGCTGGCCTGTGCATCTGTGCAGTCTAAGCTATATATAGTCCAAAATTGAAGCTGGACAAGTTGTTTTAAGAAATATTCAACAGGTTATAGGTTAGAAGATAATACAGTATCAATAGTGACACCGGGGGTATAATGAAATAATAATTACAAAGGTGAAATGGAAATGGCTAAGCATAATAGGAATTTTTTTCTTCCGTTTTGACATGAACTTTGTTAACGTTACACGACATGTAAGGCCATGGCATCAGAACTGCAGGAACAGGTAGGCACTATATTACATACAGAATGAAGACTGACAGCTATTTTGTACTACACGTCATGTTTCATGTGTAATAGTACAATCTACACGAGTAATTAAACTTGTAATATGTGCAATTCTCAAACCCTTGTTCGACATTCTTTCCCGTATCAAGAAGTGACGAAATTACATGTTCCTGTCCACAAGAGAGATTCACGATTGACATTAACATTATTATACATGTGTGACTAAGACGAAAATAGAATATAAAAGAAAATAAGCAAGAAATACGCAACGTGAAAAGTGCTCCTAACCTAAAGACTTCCTAAGATATTTCCTTGAGATAATCACCAGTTTGTTGCCAGTTTGTTGTGTGCAATATTAATTGTTTTAGTATTGTCAATGACATTTATGCACGTGATATAAGCATGTCATTAGCACTTACCCGCCCACTTACTTTTCTTATAATAAGTGCAATTTGCACTTTAATTCATCAGACAGCAAAATCAAACTTCACTTGTTAATTCAGTGTCACATTAATTATAAACCACTGCCATACAATATCTGCTAATGATTCAGTTTCTGCAATTTGAAATGACGATAACAAATTCGATGTTTATCATTTTTCATCGTTCAATTCATTTTTCACGACCCATGTTGTACATTTCGATTCATCACACATTTATTACGGAGTTTATAATTCATTTCCAAATGTAACGCACCTGAAAAGTGACAACAGGAACATGTAGTAATCCTGACATAAACCTAGTGATCTCGGTATTGGATACCCCGATATTTTGTTCTATAAATGGATATACGCCACCATCATCAATTTCCCGTGCTACAGTAATTGTCCATGTCTCGGTGGTTTCTCTATCATTAATGACAGGTTCACACTTTTCAGGGATTAGTGAAAAGGAGTCAGGTATCAGAGTTTTGTATTTTCGACAAAGCTGATCCGAGGCCATTTAAAATTTTAAAAAGAAAATTTTTTTCTGTCATTTCAATACAAGATTGTATCATTTTTTGTAACCACAGCTTTGTGACTGTTTTGACTGGTTTGTTGTATTTTTTGTTACCTCACTTAATTATCTAATTATAAGAACAAAAGAGAGCATGTTAAAAAATTAAGTACAGTTTAACTTACTTTTGTCAAGAATCCATTATTCATTATTACTGCTAATTGACTTAAACAAAAAGCCAATTAACAAAGATGTTTAGAATGGCTGAAGATAATGTTAATTTGTATTTTCTTGAAACAAAATTGGCTTCAACTTTGCCTCCAAACTTCTACAACTGGCTCTTTATTTTGTCCTAGTATACAGAAGACTTGTCAAAAGTCAGATTCAAACCCATGGTCAATGAATTTGTCCAGCTTTGAATACCAATAGTACAGCTTCAACCATCGAAAAATGTATTGGTTTAAGCTACAACATTTTTGGCCACAATGCATCACAAATTTTAACCTCAGACTGGTGACCAGTAACACTCCAAAGACTGCAGCCTGGGTACTAAAGCAAACTCTTGCAAACCAGTCAAAGCCTTTGTATGGATGGCTTAGTGAAACCAGTCTGACTTGATCCCGGCTTGATTTCTTATGACTTACAACCATTTTGCATTAAACTCTAAAAAGTTTTTTTATTTCATATTAATTCAGCTATTGCATCCATGCTAGAATAAAATAACTCATCTGAAATGCAATAAAACGGTATTAAACCATACTTAAAAGGGGAGTAGAATACATAAAATCAGGCAGTAATGTTTGCGTTACAAATAAACATTATTAAACTTCTTTCAAATCTTTTTTCATTTACCTCTCATAAAGAATGGATAACAGAACAATTTATAATCAACTTTTGCCCCCAAAATTCACAACCGCGTAAAGTTTACATGCTCGCAGTTGCTGAAGCCAAGCCAGGGATGTACTGACTTACCCAACTTCGCTCTCAGTCACGACAAACACCAATTTTTGTCTTAACATTTACCTCTACAATCATGCAACCTTAAAATGTTTAAAGATAAAGACATAATCTATGTAAACATGCCAGCACAAGATTGAGTCATCGAGAAACAATACGCCTTTTCATGACCGTCAAACCAAAAAATCAGTTTTTACAATAATTTAATTGAAAATCTTGGTGACCTATAAACACCTGTTTCAACCTGGGCTCGTCAACTTATGCAGCAAAGTTTGACAAAAGAATTTCAAACTTTTATCTCAATTTGTGACGCGTTTACGTTTTAAGTAACGAGTCATTTTACATGCAAAACATATTAATTATAAGCAATAATATTCCACACCCGTGTATTCTATTAAACATGCCTTTTCATATAAAACGCACATCAATAATAAATATTCAAATCGATACGAAATCGTTTAAATTACGTCAATCAAATATTATAAATATGATCTTGGATCAGTATCATTGGAATGTTTTTATTCTATATGACCACGTCTGCCAATTATGCAAAATGAATTTATACTCTAATCAGATCTAATTTGACAGTATTGCTGACCTACAAGCCAATTCACTTTTAAAACAATTTCCGGAAAGATTGTTGTCGCAAAAGAAGACAATTTTTTTTTTTTGATTAAGCATTATGTAAATATTTTTTGCTTTGGATTTCGGTCA